GAACAGTTCAGGTAAGTGTAATATTGATTGTATTGGTTTATTAATATTCCTCTAAAAGTACTGTACTACACCTGAGTGACCTCTACTATTTTGTCAACATATTAAAATTTTAAATTTACATAAAATTTGCGGCGCTAGGGTAGAGTGTCGTTTGTATGTTCTTATGATAAATTGATTCGAACAAAATAAAAAGCAGCGAATAAGTGAATGGAAGGTGTTTTTGTACACGTTTAATAAACAATTTGATCGAAATATATTATAAAGTGTATACAAATAAATAAATAATGGTTGTCAATGCTTCCACATGACAGAAGCTTGGACTGAAGTGAAATATCTTCTCAGAATATATCAGAATTGATTATAAATGCCTTAAGACACATTTACTGGGTATGCTTGTCATAACATTAACTTTAACCGTTTTGGTAACCACTTGACACTTGAACTTATGAAACAAACTGATCCGCATGTGTTCATGTTGTGCTATGTGAATTTTCTAAAAAAATATTGCCTATGTTTTGCTTCATTGATGTATTCCTTGCTTAACGAACACACAAGATGCATAAAAACAATGAATATGAATGAAAATATCGGTGTAGTGAAGAGTAAAATGGATATTTGAAACTCATTGTACTATAGAACTCCACCCCCCAGCCAAAATAGATATGCATCCCTCTCAAGTCTCAAGTATTAGTTATAGTTTTATTTAGATAGTTTTTTTATGTTTGTATGTCCTAATTCGGGCCTGCAGTAATTGGCTCACACTGTTGTTCATATATTGTAATATGGTGAAACTAATAAATAAATAAATGAGCCTCTATAGAAACAATTGACATATTCTCTGAAATTTGTATGCCTTGCCTCCAGGAATGCAGTAAAGCCACCCACTACTGTTAAGGAGTGAACTGATTTGTCAAATTCATATCTGGGAGCCAAAAGCATTACCTTGGCTGAAAATGAGCCAATCTATGATACAATTATGGAGCACTATCCCCAATTGTCAGAAGTGGGCGGGTTTGATTTCTTACTCTATCAAAGAGGTGGCGGAAGTGATGCTGGTTTTCATGTGATAAGTCCACCACATACAGTTAATCGGCTTAAAGATTTGTGTGGACAAGCGAAAATCTATATACGGCCTGTTCAAAAAGACATACCATTGACATCAAAAACCATCTCTGAAACTACATCTACAGAAATTGAGCCTTGTACAGAGAATGAGCTGAGTATGGAAGACTCAGTCAGGTGTGTTATTTGTTTTTGTTACGAATTTAGTACTACAGTACAAAGTTTGATGTATACAAAGCTAGGCCAAAAAAGAAATATCCACAGATTCCTATTTCTTCTTGTAAAAACTTAGGTAGCGTATGTCGGTTTTAACTTTTTTTTAAACTTTTTTTTTTAATTTTCCAAACAACCGGATGCCATTAGTCAGTACTTACACATCCAAAGATAAATTTCCCTACTATTACATCAAATTTCCATTTTCCACAAATGTTTTAGTCTAAGTGGAAACACTTACAAGCATGATCCAATAAAAAAAGTTTAGGGTCGGGATTTCGGCATCCAAAAGCTAGGTAGGGTTTGGAAACCGGAAACCCACATTTTTTTGCCCTATGTTAATTATGCTACATAAATTAGAAAATGTAGTTTAACCCATTACCCTGCAGAGCTTCCCCATTGAAGAGTAAAATCATCTGGCATTAGACAAGTAAAAAAAAAGTAGGGCGCACTTGGCTGTGGCGCATTGCGGCTGAATGGGTTAACCAGAGACATTGTCAGATATTTTGGTTAACCCATTAAGCTGTAGAGCTTCCTTCATTGACGAGTAAAATCGTCTGGCATTACAAAAGTAAAAATGTAAGTATGGTGCAATGGGATGCATTACGGCTCAATGCCAATGGGTTGATTAAAGTGTTAATGAAACGAAATTTTTGCCACATTTTTTATTGTTTTTATACTAAAAATTACTACTAAAATGATGAAGAATGACATTTACAGTTTATTTGTATCTCATCTCAAGTTATCACACTTGACTTTCTATACAGCATTTGCATGTCATTTAAACAAAAGAGAAGCACAATAGAATGATTGGGAAATCAATAATACTGAAAGAAGGACAATAGCGTGATTTCAACATCATTTGTGCTAGTAAGTAGGTTCTATAACAACACCTTATTATATATTCCGTAAAGAGAAAATCAATTAGACAAAACAAAGAACAATTAATTGCATGAACTAATTAATCATTAACATTTTCGCAACAACAATAGCAATAAATCAAAACACATTTAACCACAACAAATAATCATTAATATAAAGGCAAAATATAAAGCTAACATTAAGGCAGACATTTCCAGTCCTCACATGCAACTTCGTGTTATTCATATACCAATCATTCTACTGTGCTTCTCTTTTGTTTAAATGACATGCAAATGCTGTACTTTGAGTAGTGATGTAACTAGTTTGATTTGAGATATTGGCAATAATAAGAAAATTTAATACATTGGTGATAATGTAATAAAATCCAATGAAGCCAGGGGTGGGGTGCTATGGGAATCTGGGGGCATGAAAATTTTGAAACTAGAGTTTCTGAAATGCCATATCCTGCACTTTAAAAGGGGATTTACAGATTTCTAAAGGTAACAGAATGTCATAAAATATACAAGTAACTGAAATAATATTCATTGATAATTGTTGAAAAGAGGGGGGCTAAAGACATGTATGCCCCCCAACTAAAAAGTGGATGAAACTTGGCACACTTAATGGTGCAACCAAGTGAACATTTTGGGTTCGGTTGTTTATATGGTTGTCATGGAAACACACTTTGTCCCCAGCCCATTCTCACTATTTCTTGAAATCTTAGGAAGGTTTGTGAATTTTTCAAGTTCATTTCATTAAATCCATAGATATGATTAAATCACATCATGCCACTCAACATTAGGGTGCCTATGTCCAGTTATGCAATTTGAATAGGGTTGCACCAGATTTAAAATCCGGCCGGAATTCCGGCCGGATTTGATGAATTTTCTGGTATCCGGCAACTGGCTGGATTTGGAGAAAATCCGGTCGGATATAAATTTTTGTTTTCACCTCAAAAAATTCATCAAGAATGGGATAAACCATCAATTTGGCAGCTTTAAAGTTTAAAAAAACACTTAATATTATTATAAAATATTAAAAAATGGTTTAAACACAATCAAAATCTAAACTGACACTAACTAAAAATAGTAAAAAAGATAAACCGCCATTTTGAATACTGAATTATCCCAATTTATCCCCATTACCGGTTTATCTCAAATCCAGTAAATCTGGACGGAATTTTTGTCCAAATCCGGTCAATCCGGTTCCGGCCGGATTTGAAAATTCAAAATCCGGTGCACCCCTAAATTTGAATACATTAATCATGTCATGACTTCATTCTTAGTGCACAATTTGAAGTCTAATTGTAGAAGGGACTGTATCTTACCTTAGAAACCTAAAGTAACTGAAACTTAATATTAAGTTAACTGTTATTTTATCTGATTAAGGCAACCATTTGTGAACCTGTTTTGAAGTGCTTTGTATGTGGTATTGACTTGCCATTCAGCTGCATAAGAGAACACACATACACTCACAACACAACTGGTTCTAATAAGGTACAGTACAAGTCATACTACTTTAAAATTTGTGTACTTGAACATAAGGGTTCAACAACTCAAAATCTTTAGTCATGCCTGACTTTTCTTCGAATATTATTGCTACATATAATTGAGCTGGTACAAGCTTGAGACAAATGCATATACAAACACAACAAACGATTACAACATTCCTTAGACCCATCTCAATCAGTCCAATCATGTTTCATGCAAAGTCATGTCAGACTTATACATATTCTGACTAAATTATGGTTTGAATAACTTGGACTCAGGAAAGTACAGCCCAAGCAAAAAGTTAAATACGCAGATAGCAAAAAATCTGCGTACCTTTTAATCTGCGTACCTTTTAAGTACTGTAGGAAATATTGAAACTAATGTTAACTTTTTGCAAAATTTTGTATGGTCCTCGGTGGCTATGAGTTTTTTTGTCATTTGTATATTTAACATTCTTTAGCACTGTAATGTATTAAGTACATTCCATAAGTGCATACAGTACTTGAATCGTAGTTGATTACTATTGTTTGAAACTGGCACTGTTATAATATTTTAGATATTTTTAGATATAGTGTGAAAATTTGAGAGGAACTTGTGTTTTACATATTAACCTTTTTTAATATTCTATAGCTGTAAATGATTTACAGTACAAATGGTTAATATTTTATAATTTGGATTATTTTCTAGCAGAGGCAAACTACCCTTGATGAGATCACAAAGAGGTAAACACAGTAATTTCACTTTTCAACAATCTGGTGTGGTCACATAATTGTACCTCTCGTCCACAGAACGTACAGTATGATCTAATATATGAACAAGAGAGCGAGTGTTTCACCGGTATATCCAAACACGAGAAAACAATGTATGAGAACACGAGTGCGAAGCGCAAGTGTTTTCATACATTGTTTTTGAGTGTTTGGATATCCCGGTGAGACACGAGCTCGAGTTGTTTATATGGCTTCTCAAATGAATCGAGATGTAACAGAATGTTCTCATTTGCTGATTTGAATAGAATTCTTAACCAAGTATAAGGTAACTAGGAATTCTATTCTAGTAATTTTGCATGCATAATTAAGATATTTGATGAAAACACTAGTGACTTTCATCAAGTATCCAAATGGCATCTTGTGATCAAATAGGTGATTATCATTGGCTGAATTACTCATGAATTATTAATGAATTTGAGCACTATATGTCACCACTCACCTATTTTGACTGGGCTAAACTATAGGATATGTCCAGTCATATATTATTTACTACATTGTAATATAAAATTTGAAAGTGTTAGGCACTTTGATACTATGCAAATGATTTGTACAATAGGTCTATTCAGTTTTAGGTTATAGTACTACCTTTGCATTTACGTCGGAAGACATGCAAGGGACAGACTTGCAAACAATACAAGAAATTTTACCTAGTGCCTCTGCCAGTGACATCGAATCTGCACTGTTGTATGTAAATGGGGATGTTGCAGAAGCAGTGCAACATCTTTTACCAGGTAAGGGTTTTGCTATGGAAATTTGTGAGTGGAATACGAGTAAATTGATTTAACATTACTGCATGTGCAGTTAATAGTTATTGCGTACCATACTGTGGTGTGACTATCACGTTCGTAAAATGCTGTATCAAGGGATACAGTAAGAGGTTTACGGTTTAGTATTATACGCGGGGTCAGGGGGCTACGGGGTATTGGGTGCGGTATAGATCGAAAATTCGGGGTGCGGTAGAAATCGAAATAATCTGAATAGAACTTTTAGAAAACCTTATAAAAATGGTTATATTATGCAAATTGTTGTGCTGTTTGTGTATAGGTATAATCGTAGAAATGTTGCATTGGATTTATGGATTGTGTAGTACAGTTTTGTTAGAGGTTCTTGTCAGATTACTACAAAAAAGAGCTAAAAGAGTTTTTTTACTCTTTTCGATTTCTACCCACACCCCGATTTTCTACCGTTTCCGCATTTTCTACTGTATCCGTTTTTTCTACCGTTCCCCTTTACCACACGTATTCCACTAAACCAGTCCTTTACTGCGTAGTTAAGAGAAAAAAATGCAGACTGCACTATATGTGTGCTGCTTCATAGTGGTACTGTATGCCATCATCTGACATCGAACCATTCTTATTTGCTTTGGTACACTATGTTTTGGAATATGCATGCACCATTATGTCCTATGTCCTAAGTTATGTAAAATTTGTATCAAGAAAACGTCTATGGTTTATATAAATGGTTTTTATTAGTGTGAAGTTTCACTTCACACTATTGTGATGGCTGGCGAATTCACACGAATCAGTCAGTCAGTCTGGCAATCGTAGAGTAAACTTTCCGGGGGGTGTATACAATTTATGTCCATAGTGATTTATTGTACTTAGTCAGAACTTTGAAGGTTATTTAGGCAATTTCAGTTAACTTATTTACATATTCTGTTATCCTTTTGCCAAGTTCACAAAAATTTCGATGAATCGCTTTCGTTATTGTAATTTTTTGTAAATTTTAGAACATTCGCTTCTCCTGTTGTGTAAAAGGATCTTTACCCCGGAACACCCAAGTTTTTTTTTAGTAGTGCAAATGCGCATGCGCTATCAAGCCGTAGATCACGATGGCGTGACGATATGCTAGGAAGGAGTGACAGTGTTGTTTTCAGATGTATAAACTTTTCAGACGTGAATATTTGGTAAATCTTTGAAAATCTACGCAAAATATAAATTGATCTTATGCATTACAGGCGTTCAATTAAGTGCCGATTCATTATACAGAGCTAGGAAAGAGCTAGACCACCTAGACAGTGCAGTCAAGTGTATAAACATTTCAGACGTAAATATTGAGTTGAAAATCTTTGAGATTTTAGGCATTCGATTGAGTGCCAATATTATTTTCACGGCATACTCATTATACAGAAGTACAGTACGTATAGGCAGAAGCGAGACAGTGTTAACGTTTTCAAGTATATAAACATTTCAGACATGAATATTGAGAAAATCTTTGAGATTCTATGCAATAATACAATATATAATTTTATGTTATACATTACCAGCATTCAATTAAGTGCCCATCGATAATATTTAGACCGTGTATTCATTATACATTGTCATTGACTGTATAAGGTACTACATCACAGAATAGATGGCTACACTCAGTACAAAGAGCGAAAAATTGCATCAGATCTGTATCAGATCAATAAAGCATAAACAACTATTAAACAGAAGCGGGTAAACATCTGTACGGTGTTTACAAAGAAAATAACTTGCGAGACTAAAGAAATCAGTTGAGTCAGAGCTCCTTATTTAAATAAGAAAGACGAGGAGATAGCCAAGTCTGTTATCACCAACGTGTTATCGCTAATCGCTTGGCTCGCCAACAAGCTTTATGCAATAGAAGAAAAAAGCAAGGAGGTACATGTAACCAACATGTACCGTCACAGACCTTGTCTTTGTTTGCTGTACAACACCATTGTCAATGGTGCAAACTTGTGTTCAGTGCAACGATAACTCTACCAGATCTTATGAGAACAATCTGTAGTAATCTGTACACAGAACTGTATCAAAGCTTGTCAAAACTGCTTTAAATTAAACACTAAACAAAGCCTCTGGCTCTGACTGGCTGTTAAATCAAACCAGCCAATCAATGCCCAGTTTACAAACCTGTTTGTGAATTTCATTATGAACTTTTGAACTTGGCAACGAATTTGCGAAGTTCGGAACGAAGTTCGGAATCTTATGATGAAAAGTCAGCTGAAATTGACTGAATGATGTAACGACATAGTGCTTATTTATTCATAACATATCTTATACAGCTATTTCAATTATAGTTTTAGATAAATTTAGCATAGCAGTAGCCTCGTGGAGATGCTTTTAGCGACAGCTGCAAATGCAAATGAAAATTTAGAATATGCAAAATTTGGTTGTTGGTGAAACAATTTAAATTTCGAATTGTCGCATGTAGCATCACAATAAATAGATAAATTGCATCAGTTTCACAAGGCACGTTTCTGGTGTGTTAGGCTTGTTTCAAACGTCATGCTACTTGTGTACCGAGCGTATTAAAAGCAATAAATAATGAGATGAAATGGCTTTGGTAACTGTTTATTTCGTAGTGAAAGCCATCACCTTTTCTAGGTTGTCGGCGACCCTATATAGTTTTTGCAGTGTCTTTTTCAATTTGAAACTTCACACTATCCTTGGATGCCTAGTTTTTCTGATTGTATCTCATTTTGTTCATTTTTATATAAACATATATTTTAATCATTGCATGCGTAAACTCGCCGCGAGGACGTACGTATTTATTTACAATTTACATTGGAGGTTTAAGAAAATAAAAAACACACAACAATTAAAAACGGGGAAGACACGTTGACAATTCGTCATTTGTTTTATTTGTTTTATTTTACCGGCTTAGATATGTCGAAGAAGAATCCGTGTAACATACTGTAAACATAGCATAATTTATTTAAATGCAAAACTATTTATAATTTTCAATTAAGAGACAGTGTATCTACTGTGCTTGTTTATTTTACTATGACTGTCTTTTGTATCTTTTATATTTTTTGATCAGATATAGTTAATGTTGACAAATGGCAAGACAATGATGATGATAATCAGTTACTGATTCCTGCATTTGGAGATGTCGAGGAGATAACTTCGCCCAAGGCCGCTATGAAACTGTTTAAAAAAGAAAACATTGATTAAGACAAACCTCAGCAAAGGGTATCTCTAAGCAGAATGGATGGGCTTGACCACCTCAAGAAGGATGTCATCGGAGTATCCAAGAACCCAAGCACCAAACTTAAAGTGGGGCTTAGAGTTCGCTTTGAAGAAGATGTGGTTGGCAATGGTCCCCCGTTAGAGAATTTCTGACAATCGCAGTTAACATTATAGACGAAGGCTTAAGTTCGTCAGGTTCAAAAAAACTATTATTCTTTGAAGGTCAAGTGGACCATCACCTTCCTGTCCTTAACCAGTCATTGCGGGTAACTGGTACATTTAAAACCCTTGGAAAAATACTGGGTCACTCTGTACTTCATGGTGGTCCAGGTTTGCACAGTGTGTTGCCAGCAGTGAAATGTTACATGAAATCTGATAGGAGTACGGCTTGCTCGCAATCATTGCCTGTCACTCTCGAAGACGTGCCTGACCTGGACTTGAGGCAGATGATAGCAGAGGTACAAAGATGCAGGGCTGCTTATCCACACTGTAGCTTGTGTACTGTAGCATGTACTGTAGCGTGAATATAACTATGCAAACCAAATTATTTTGTCTTGTCCATATAACCTTTTTTCAATGTTATAAGATTTAATTTTGTTTTATATTTTGAAAACGTTGTTGTATAGTTTGAAAATGAAGTCAATAACCTTATGTATCGATCAATTCGAAACTTCACCATCACCCCCCCCCCACCCCCGCCCGGGCATACCCCAGGAATTTGACTTCAAGTCTTCTCCAGGGAGTAGGGAATTTGACGTTCTAGGTCTTCCATGTGGTGGGGCATTTGATAACAGGGTGGGGAATTTGAACCGGAAGTCTTAACTTCCCAAATGACCAAACGACCAAACCAAATGACCAAACAGTCAAAACAGATTTGAAATACTCCTTAGAATCATACCTGTACGAGGCTGGACTGGATCCAGATGAGTTGCATTCTGGCAGGAAGATTGTCATTGACGGTCTCATTATGTATCAGGTCATTGATAAAAGGAGACTTGAATTGGACGAATTAGCTAAAGGTACATTTTACATCATTTTTCTCATGAGTGACAATATAATATTTACACAGTCTGGCAATCCAAAGACTAAGCTGCCGTATTGAACATGCACGAACATGTATAAATATAGTTGCTTGCTTCAAGCAAGAACTATATGAATTTCACCAAAAGCGAAAAAATATACATACCGAATGTCCCAAAAAAAAGTACTCCTGTTTGATTCTTAATAACTCTGAAGCGAGTGAAGCTATTACACTCAAATATATTTTATTAGATAGAGGAAAGGCTAACTTAGATTTTGCTATATTACAGTTGTATATTTATAAAGAGAGATATTAGTGTTCAAATTTGGTAGTATATTTCTGGATGTGTCAAAAATTTGCAAAAAACAGCGTATCAAATATTAACCAAGCGTTGCCGTTGCTCAACTTAAAGACGTATTATTATGAGTAAATTGATGAAACTTGATAAAATGTTTATTGCGAAACGAAGTATTATTCACAAAATACAAACAATATTTATTCGGTCGGAATCGCGTGACCTCTAACACTGCATTGTCTAGCTCGTCAGAGACCATGCATATAGCGTCGTGTCATGTCGTTTCATGCAAAAACTTCTTGTGTATTGAGCTATAATTATTGTTCGTTTTGTCAGGGCAGGAGTATTACCCCAGCGACCTGTCTTCTTACTTCTGCCGCGTTTTGGAATCTTGCATGCACTAAGCAAATCCCAACTCTTTGATCCTTAGTTAATAATCTTGGCATACTCAAAACGAAACACAATTAAACCATATAACATAACAATATAACCTAACGTGCAACTCCCCAGAGATATGGAACATTCTTGGAACAAAATGTATCAAAAATATTAATAGCGCTGATACAGTAATATGGTTATAATAGTATTATTTAAATTTAACTACCATATTCATCCTATTCAAACTTAGAAACAGTCAACTTTGTTTTGTTCGTTTGAGAATACTCAAAATATGAATAGGCCGTTCAAGAAAATTTATTACTCCTTAATTAACCTGTTTTTGGGTATTTTTAAAAATCGATCAAAAACGGCATAAATTCAAACGTTATATTCTGTATATGTCTCATCGAAATATACAGAATAAAGTTGAAAAGAAAACTCGGATACTATTTTAAACAAATCAAATCGCATATTTCGGCGAATATTTTAACAATTTATACAGTAATGGAATCCGATTCTTCAAACAACGTGCACATGGACAACATCAATAGATATCAAGTCAGTAGCTTCAAAATGTCAAATGCAAAGCGTGTCCCAGTTGAGAGATTGGATTTTTCTATTTACAAGCCCAGTGCGAATCAAGTAGCTTTCTCGTCAACTGAAGAAAGATTACCCCTTTGGATTAAAGCGATGGAGCTCCGATACAAACATGGCGGCTCGGTTTTCAACAACAAAATTACCACTCAGTGGGAGGAACACGATGATACAGATGATGATACTAAATGCGACAAAGTTCTCATCAATCTGACATCACACTACAAGTGAACCCCCATTAATCCAACAACAGCAACCATCCCAACAGGAAACGTCCCAAAAAAAATTGAAGGTGACACCATTATATTATGCGACAGCAATGGTCAATACCTTAAACCTTCCCTGTTATGTCCTGGTGCCAAAACAAAATACATTAAATGTGCTACACTTGAAAAAGCAAAAGAAATACTGGACAATACCACCTTTAACTCGCCTAAATCGTTCATTATACATGTAGGAACAAACAATTTAGAACATTCTAACCCAACAGAAACCCTAACCAATAAGGCACTTGACATAGTGGAGGATATCAAGAACAAACATCCTGAAAGTCATATTATATTCTCTTCCCTTCTCCCAAGAACAGATGCCCTTGATGAGAAAGTGAATCATCTTAATAACAAGTTGGAAAAAGCGTTTTCCTCAAAAAAGAACATTACTCTAGTTCAACATAATAACATATACAAGAATGGCCACCTCAAAGACAAGAAGCACCTTAACAACATTGGTGTGAAGCGTTTCGCACCAAACATAAAATGGGCCTTCTTTAGAAAAATATCACCTTGCCACAACGGCATAGACAGTACAGACCTCCAAGACCCCCGACCCAATGGTTTCCTCACAACGCAATACCACCACAATTCCCTAGCATTCTCCCTTATACGCCTAACTACCACTTCAACAATGCTCAATCCCCAAAGCTTCTCCAAACAGCTCCACCAAAAAACACTCATTTACAACACCCTAACCAAGATCACCCTCCTAATTTTCCTACTTTTCCCTCAATCCACCATAACCAAACTGCTCGGCTATCAACAACACACCATACAACCCAAGAAACCAAAACAATGCAAGGTCAACTTATCCAACTGATTAAAGATCTTCAGCAATATGTAAGTTTGTAACAATATTACTAAATAATATTAACATACTGAATATTGAACACTACTATATAATACATTTATATAATTTGAAAACCTTAATTAAGCACTAATATTCTCAAAATTTAACTTTTGATAATATAGTATATCAATGATAACTCGGTCACTCTATAGATATTCACCCACTTATTAGTTCCCTCCAAGGTACTCTAATCTTTCCTGGAATATCCACAGTATTTCAAATAATGTCCTTAGCAATAAAACCAAAAACAAGGATTTTATTGACTGTATACATAATATTGACTTTATTTTCCTTACTGAAACTTGGTGTAACACAAATATAGATGTTCCTGGTTTCAGGTCTTTTGTCTCTAATACTGCAAAGCCTCATACCAACCTGGCATGTCGCAAATCAGGTGGTATCACTCTACTAGCCAAAACCAAATTTGAAAAATTCACTTCAATTGTCAAAAAATCCAAAAATTTTCTTTGGTGTAAAATATCAAAAGATGTGTTAAATGCCAAAAACGATCTATTTGTATGTGGTGTGTACGTTCCGCCAGAAAAATCTGTTTATTTTGAAAATTTTGATGAATTAGAAAATGATATTGCACAATTTTCCTCAAAAGGAAACATAATGATCCTTGGCGATTTTAATGCTAGAACTAATACACTTGAAGACTTTATCTCTAAAGATGGCAGCAATTTTATAAACGACACTAGTGAAAACTGCTTGCAACCAAAGAACAGATTAAATTTTGACAACCAAATTAATAACCATGGTAAACAGTTAATTAATCTATGTAAAAACTGTGACATGAAAATTTGAAATGGGCGCACAAAAGGTGATTCCTTTGGAAGAGCTACTTTTCATGGTAACAATGGTATAAGTACAGTTGATTACATCATATGTGATCAAGAATTATTTAGAAATACTAATCATTTTGTTGTAAAACCACCAACATACCTATCTGACCATGGTCAAATTATTACATGGGTTGGTATCGGTCAGACAAACGAAAAATCAGATACCAATCCTTCATGTAATATTGAAATGACTAAACTACCAAACCAATACATTTGGGATGACCACTCTAAAAATAACTTTAGAGAATCATTAAGATCACAAGAAATACAAAAGAAATTGAATGAATTTATGAACTCAGATTTCACCACTGATTTGAATGGAACAAACCAATGTGTAACCGAATTCCAAAACATCTTACTTGAAACATAAAAAAAAAGTTTGAAAATTAAAAAGAGCAAACGAAGAAGAAAAATCACTAACGTTGCCCAAAAGAAATGGTTTGATAAAGACTGTAGAATCAAACGACATGACTTAAGGAAATTATCTAATTTAAAACATAGAGATCCTACCAATGCTGAACTTAGAAAAAACTACCATGATGCCTTGAAATCATATAAGGCAACTCTACAGCTGAAACAAAATGAATTTCACAACAAAAAGATGAATGAATTAGAAACAGCTAGTCAAAATGATTTTAACCTTTTCTGGAAAACACTAAAGAACTTGACAGACGACCTTAATACTGAAACTAATTCTGAAAACTTACCAAAAAATCATGAATGGTACTCACATTTTGAACAATTACATTGTGATCACCATCTTAGTGAAGAACAAGAAAAAATTATCGGAAAATTGAAACAAAAGGAAAACTCGAAAAATCTCCTCAATGAGCTTGATATGGAAATAACAACCGAAGAAATAATAAAAACAGCTAAGAAAATAAAATCTAAAAAAACTGCACACTCAGATAAAATCAACAACGAAATGATAAAATATAGTGTTGATATCCTTGCCAATGGTTTTATAAAAGTATTCAACACAATAATGAAATCTGGAAAGTTCCCAACTTCATGGTGTGAAGGACTTATCTCACCAATTTTTAAATCAGGGAACAAATTAGACCCAAGTAATTACCAAGGAATATGTGTATCAAGCTCGTTAGGAAAGTTCTTCTGCTCTGTTCTCCATGAAAGACTGATGAACTTTTCAAAAACTAAAGAATTGTTACACCCTTCTCAAATTGGTTTCCTACCAAATAACAGAACGGCCGATCATATTTTTACCTTAAAAACGTTGCATGATAAATATGTTAATCAAAATAATGAGAAAATTTACGCATGCTTTATTGATTTTAAAAAAGCCTTTGATTCTGTCTGGCACGAAGATCTTTATTTGAAACTATTAGAAAATGGAATTGGAGGATGCTTCTATGATCTGATAAAGGATTTGTACTCCAATACTCGATGTGCAGTGAAAGTATCGGGTCATAGAACACCCTTCTTTTCTTACAATCGAGGTGTATGCCAAGGTTGTGTTTTAAGCCCCGTTCTCTTTAATCTATATATAAACGAACTTCCTAATCTATTTGAAAAAGTAAACCCAGACCCATTTCTTTTACCAAATGGAACGAGACTAAGTAGTCTACTATATGTGGATGATCTTGTCATACTATCAAGATCAAAATCTGGTCTCCAAAACTGTTTAGACTCCCTCAATGAATGGAGCAAAAAATGGCTAATGAATATTAATTTGAAAAAAACTGAAGTTATGATTCTACAAAAACATAAACTGCAATCACTCGACTTTTTCTTGGGAGATAAACGTATTGATATTACGAACAAATACACTTATCTCGGTTTAACTCCTAACACTAAATTTTCAGTTGCGACTCAACAACTGAGTGAAAAGGCTATGCATGCCTTATTTAAAATACGGAAAAATCTTGATTTTCAGAAACTTACACCAAAACTTGCCATAAAAATCTTTGATGACATAGTCTCTCCAATCTTGCTTTATAATTCTGAGGTTTGGGGAGCCTATGGTAACAACGATTTTACTAAATGGGACAAAACTAGTACTGAGAAAACACATCTGAAATTTTGCAAACTCTATTTAGGTGTGAACAGAAAAGCGAGCAATATCACTAGTAGGGGTGAATTAGGTAAATTCCCTCTATTAATACCCATATTCAAAAGATTATTTTCTTAGATTAACCACCAATTACCAGATACAAGTATAGCGAAACAAACTTTTTACCTATCAAAAAGACTTTACTCAAATGGTAAATACTCACTCTACTCTAATGCTGCAAGCATTATTAAAAAGTTTTATCACAATATCGAAGATACAATAGATATTGAAAAATTTGTCCAGGATACAAACCTAAACGATTTTGTAAAAACCATTAAAGATAATGCAGGTATCAGCGGCTTTCCCGGGGGGTCGACCCACGGGCCACCCCGGGGATTTGTCAAAACAGCCTTGACTAATGCCCGTGGGTTGGGGCAAAATTTTGTCACAAATGCCCCTACCTCCGGGCCGAAATTTGGAAAACAATAATTTCAAATATAACAAATGGTTATTTACAAAGAAATTTGTAGTAAGTTAATATACTTATTAACATAATTTTGGGCATCTTGTTCAATAAACAACAAGACGCCGACTCGGCGTTAACCTCGGGTCGGTGGATAGGGCATCGTCTGGTAAATATGCAAAAATGGTGTAAATCACGATAGTTTAATAGTTCGCTAGTATAAATGGTGAATCAGTCCATCAAAGCTCCGTTTTAACATTTTATTGATAATAATTACTGACCCTCATCAAACCTATTCTTTTCTCTCTGCATTATATCAGCGGATGTCGAGAATTTTTAACGTTCTACTGAAAAACGGGAGCGGTGATTGTAGGGAAATTTCGGCCCAAGCCAAGGTAAATATTTATACGGACTAAAAATAGCACACAGCATTATTAAAAATAATGCAGCATGCAGACATTAGCGGTAGTGCATCTTCGTCAGCGGCCACCCCGACATGCACACGCGATAGTGTGAACATCCCAAGTTGGGAAGGTGACAGTGCCTGAAGCGCTGCCAAAAACGGCCACCATGAGTCCTTTCAGTTCAATTTTATAGAGAAATAGTTTCGTTTGCGCTTGTGGGATTTTATCCTAGATATACGCATGTGCAGAACACACCATAAGCTCTATTCCCGTGTTTATCCAGTTTAATACCTTCTTTGAATTAGCCTTATCATTACTGATAATATGTAAACTAGAACACTATAATTGACCTCTGCTTGTGGAGTTTTAATTTAGGGCGATTAATTAAACTGAAATCTGTTCTATCACAATGCACTACAGTGCCTATGGTTATGTCTATATGCGTGTCCTCACAAATGTCTAGTGTAACGTTGGATAAGTTCATTGTCATACGGTCCCGACAAGCAGCAACGTACAGTAGTCTTCCAGCCGAAAATAATTACTTTTGATTCGGGTCAGTAATTATAATAGATAACAAGTGAAAGTTGGCCGCGGTATTCCCATGCTATGCATACGAAGTATTGTGCATTATATCAACATATACTCGAGAATAGTTATCCAGCTAAACATGTATGTCAAAATTATCACATCTTCTGGTTTATCAAATTATCACATCTTTGGATTTTGTGCAAGGACAGCTTCGGGTTACCGGAAGTTGTTGTCTCCTCCGCAGGCTCTTCGACTACGCGCGCGGCTCGACACGAATGGAAAAAAAAATAATAGGAGCCGAATTTATGACCTTGGTGTCGTACCGACCCGAGGTAATGAAGCGTAGGCCGCAAAGAAGATATTTTTGAACTAAAAATTCATACACAATTTTATATCGGGACATTTGTTATTAATACGTTTGCTATTTTAACCTATTTAATAAATCAGTATCCGATACAAAACGTTTAAAAAGTTTGTGTCCTTTATAGTTTCAAACAATTATTCTGGTGTTTCCAACTTTTATTGAGGATAGATGGCTAATTATTCATTTATAAATAAAAGGATTAAATTACATTCACCTACCATCGATTGCTACTAAGGGAAACGCGTCATGAGAAAACGCCTGCCTCGTACCCAGGCGGTATGTTGTTCTATTGCTTGCGTGGCCTTTGCGGGGGACGCGTGCCGTCCCACGTGTACAAACCAAAGCGCCTGGGTACGAGGCAGAGAAAACGCGATCTATAAATTGGACATAGCTTGCGTAGCCAGCGGTTTGCCTCGCCTCCCTAATTTTCGTTGCCCGCGCCTCAATCCCAACCCTTAAAACTGCCGGCTACGCAGGCTAATTGGACATGAAACATAACATGTTTGGACTTCAAACTTTACATGATTTTGCTGGAAACATTTGACGGTTTACAATTATTTTTTCCGCGAAAACGTAACAAAGTTAGTACAAACATTGCAAACCGCAATACTGAATTTGTCCACTATAAACACAAAATATAAGGCCTGTTTCATACGTCGAATTTAATTCAGACAAATTTAATCACAGATTTCGTGTTTGCAAGCTAATCCCCGCCCAATATGAATGTGTTTCTAAATTTGAAATATTGACAGTTGACTGTGAGTGTCAATATTTCAAATCCAAATTTCAAGTCCAAACAAATCATGTTTGACAGCCAATTGGACGTGTTTTCTCATGACATATTTCTGCTTTATAGTTGCAATCAACGGTATATTGTTCATGTGCTTCGAAATGCTTCGAATTTGCTTCGAACTTCGAAGGTTCGAAGCGTCTTCAAAAATCATAATTAAGAATTTTTTTGATGAATCACCGCTGACCGATATAGCAGCAGTCCATATGCAAATCCCGGGCGTTTGCCCCCGGGGTTAATTTTCAAAATACAAATGTAGGCTAAATCCCGGGTCTCCGAGGCGTGATTTTAAAACAAATTCCGTGCCATCCCCGGGGGTTGCCCGGGGGTCGACCCCCGGGCAAGCCGCTGATACCTGCATAACTACACATCATTTTGGAAACATCAAATTAAAAACTCTAGTAAATTGTCATTTTATTCTACATTTAAAAAACACTATAACTTAGAAGAATATCTAAATATCATTAAAGACCCTAACCAAAGAAGACTGTTCTCAAAGTTTTGTATAAGTCATCATAAACTAGAAATTGAGTTCGGTCGTTATAGCGATGTACCTCGACAGGAGAGACTGTGTAAATACTGCGATAAACTTGCAGTTGAAGATGAATTTCATTTCTCATTTGAATGTGAAAAATACCAGAATTTGCAAAATAACTCACGCAACATCCTAAAAAACTATTTCCAAATGAGCATCACTGATGAATTGAAGAGAAAATTATTAAGTGATCTTATGTCATTGAATGACCCTGTGATAACAGGTCTATTTTCGGAACATATTTCGAAATGTTTTTATATCAGAGACAACAGCCATTAAACTAGAAGTCACAAGTTTCTATATATTATCTAAGTTTCCTTTCGCTTTTTCTATATTCACTCTTTCTAACCCTTTCTTAAATTTTGATATTTGTTCTGTCATATATCCTTCCTATTTGATATATTATACATGTAAATAGCAGTATATTGTTTTCCATTAGTTAAAGTAGTTTTTATACTAGTTAACTTTTATATATTTTCCATTATGCTTAGCAATACCTGTAATTAGGTCATGCAAATAAAGCTTATTAATAATAAAAATAATAATAATAGTATCTCAGTAAATAATGAGCGAAAACATACATCTAATATATCAAAATCTAAGTTAGCCTTTCCTGCATGTGTTTAATGAAAGTTATTTGAGTCTAATTGCTTCACTCGCTTTCTTTGAAATTATTAAGAACCAAACCGGAGTACTTTTTTTTGGGACACCCGGTATATATATGTGGTATGTATTAATATCTACAGGTTGCAATTAATTATTTGAACTTTCTTTAGGTATGGAGGAGGTTTCCCTTATCTCGTTCCTCAAGAGAGTGCCTTTGTTTAAAAATACTGTATTCCCAATGGATGCTGAAAGATATGTTTTGGCAGAAAGAGTACTGGACGTACTTATGTATGAAGATAAGGATGTTTGTGAAGAAAACAAGACAACTGCCGAGTTTTTTGTTAGCTATATTAAGGAAGTGGAGCTCAGAAAAGTTGGTACGAATTTAACTATGGAGTTATGTCCAGCAATGCATTATATATACTGTAGGCTTGCTCCAAGAAAAAGTTTCTTCTTTACATCAAGGTTTTCCTTTTTCAAGGTTGTGCCAGGTTGGTTGACCTAGTTAGTTTTGGACTGCAGGAAGCACTATTGGATACAACGATGAGTTACTTATGGTAAAATTCAATGCAGATTGTAAGTTGCCAATGGCAGAAACCTGTTTCATGGGGATTGTACTCCCAACCAGACACACCAGTTACGACGATTTCCGGAAACATATGGATATCGCTCTGAGATACGGATCAAAAGGGTTCGATTTCATTTAAAACTTTCTTTCAGTCAGTCAAACAGAATGTCCTAGTATGCTGACATGTTATAGATTTGAGTTTATTTTGTCGCCTATTTATGGACGAGGTTTGTTTTTAGTTGCATAAACTGCATTTATGGTAACATGCCAAGGATTTGTTCATAGACTTGCATAGCCTGAAGATACGTCATACCATCTAATCGTGGCAATTCTCTCAGTTGTTCGTTGTTGAAAGGGCAATCTGTGTCTGGAACAGCGACGATATCCGGATCAATTTCGGGAATGGGTCCTGCCCAGTCAACTCCATAATAAGTAGAATCATTATAACAAAAAACATGGGTGTTGTGATAAACATTAAATTGCATGAAATTTATTTGCCATATTTAAATGTAACGTCGGGAAATATTTACTACAAGTATAATATTTCCTGAAATCATAACCTTATTTATTATATACATGACAAAATTACTGCAATCTGATTGGTTAAGAGGAGTGCAATTATTTCATTAATTGCACTCTCCAGGAGTGCAATTAATGATTTTCGTGATGGCTGGGAGGAGCGGGAAATCAAAACAACAAAATCCAATATGGTGGCGAAATTTAGATAAGTATTTCTAACAAATGTGGACGAATTTAACTGAATTTTGGCACAAAAGTGAGTTTAAGAAACATTGTATGGCAAAAAGAGCCGGTGGGAAATACCTGGAAACAGTCTTAAGAAATAATCTGAGTCGTGCAATTAATGATTAACACTACTCGTGATATTTGAAAAATGTGCCAAATTGCACTCGCCTCGGCGGCTCATGCAATTTTGGCACATTTTTCAAATATCACTTGTAGTGTTAATCATTAATTGCACTCCTTCCCGTGTGATTACCTATACTAATTAATATTGTTCAGAAAAATACAACTTACATTGTTACAGTATATTGAAATGTTTATGATTGTCTTATATTTTATAACTTTAATATGCGGGAACAGTTGAAGACATTTAATTTAAAAACATATTGTGAAGGCAGTTGCACGTTGCAGCGGTTTGTTGCTTCTGTTATTTTATTTAAGAGATCTGATTACCATTCCGCATTTGAATGAAGAAATAGGAAATATATACTGTATGACGACTTGTTCTGTTCCACAAATAAAAATACTGTTAACGACTAATATGGCGTTAGTTCGAGTTAAATAACAAAATTGGGCGCATTAGGGTGCATAGCGTGTTAATGCGTATGACAAAACATCGGTTGTAATCATACTTCCTCTCCCAGGACCTTGTTGAACATGGTTGAGCATGTAAGCTGAAACATTGACATTCTCTCCACCTTTATCTGACCTAACTCATGATGGTAATCCATACTCAGCAACAGCTTCTTGAAAACAATGAAGGACTGTTTCTGCTTTGTTGTTGTTTGACACTTTGAGATATACAGGAAGGCGAGAGTACCCATCAATTCCACCATGGACAACAATTCTCCATCTATTGCCATCAATATATTTGATGTTTTAACAAGAGAGTTCATGCAGTTGTAAACAACTTTACTACAATAAATTATTTGGCAATTGGCAAGATAATTAAGCATACCAGGCAAACCATATGTTCTAATGCTAAACAATGGTCATATGAGAGTAATTACTTTAATATGTTTACCCATTTTTTTCAGTTACATTCATGTAGATTTTATGACCTTGTTGTCATTATGGTAATGCCCTTGTGTGCCATACTTTGTTAATTTACTTTCTCTAATGCCAGACAAGTTTCCTCGTTGAGAGAAGGTCTTGTTCATAACTAGTGTTTAAATACAGTAGTAATGTTGATATTAGGCCACAACGATAGCGGATACTTCACTTGGTACTCTCGTCGTTTGATTGTTCTTGTCCATCTCTCCATCAAACCAATAGGATCCGTGCGTAGCAATGACTGCCGTACTCTTTTCCATTGAACTCTAATCCCCTTGCTTTGCAGGTAGCCCTTAACCATTCTAATTCTCCACTGTGGGTGCTGACCAGTTGCAGTGACCACGAGTTCATCTAGCTGCATATCATCAATACCACTGTACATGCCTTGCAAATTATACTTAAGTACACCTTTCATCAACAAGCTTAAGTGCAGTCAATTCTTTGTTTGCAATTATGTGACTTTTCATCCAAATGACAGGCAATCAGACAACTTGCAGACAATTTTTCAGCTTCCATAATGGATGTAGCAAGAACTGAACCGCAATTCCTCTTTTGAGGCTTAAACTGTTTCTAAACTCTATCAATACATTAAAATAGCCGGCTTTTTGTTAAAACTGCCCGTCAACTGAAATCGAAAAATTACGTCATTGCAAAAAAAAGAATAAGTCAGTGAACTAATTATATAACACTTTCATATTATTCCAACACTACAATACACCAACGAAAGATTTGTTGGCTCGAGCAGGATTTGAACTTGCATATTCGGGTATCTAGACCGCTGCTCTACCATAGATATCTTATATACACTAGATAGTGCATCTAATTATAATGCAATTTCATGATTGCAGTCTCAGGTCGTTCTCATGAAATGAGAAGATTTGTATGTTTTCTATTTCTTAATCAGGGAACTTAAACATTAAGTTAACCCTATTCCAAATACGTTTTTAAACTATTCAAATGTTGAAAGTTATTGTTGTTTTTAACCGTTTATTAGCAAGTGGGAACGACCAATATTGCTGCTATCTATTCAAATGGGGGTAACCGCTGGAATATTATTGGCTTCAATTTTACTAAAAGATATGCGCTATCTAGTGTATATAAGATATCTATGTGCTCTACCCATTGAACTATCGAGTCAACAGGGATTGGTAGCGAGTCTTTTCCAATTTAAGTGCATGAAATAGTTTTGTCACAAAAATATGTCTTAAGACAAGCGTTAAGTAGTCACGACGACAATATTTCGTGCACTTCAAACTCGTTCCCCTAGCTTGCGATCCTCTGGAAGGAACGTGAGGCTCTGGGATAATCCGTTTCAGGGAGGAATCTGAACTGATTGTCAAGACGAAGGGCCTTCGCTCGAAACGTCGAGTTTCTGCTTATTTTTTTAAGGTAGTAATATAACCACTCAGCACAGCATTTTCAAATTGGTACTACCAACACTGGTACAGACAGTTTTAGAGTGGGGTGTGTAAAAAGGGAGGGGTGTAAAAAAGGCATTGGAAAATCCATTGGGAGGGGTGAAAAAGACTGCAGAAATCCAGGGGGTGGTCTGCGATTAAAGCCATTTTCCAGCGGTATCTAGTAAGGAATTCATAGGATATTCCAGGGAGGAGGTATGTAAACTGAATTCCAGGGGGTCACAATGGACCATTCCCCAATTAACCAAAATATTGAACTCAACAAGTCTAGACAAAAATTTCATAACAGCTTGAAAGAGCATCACAAAATTAGTAATATTCCAAAGTTTCGTTGCAAAATGTTGTAAAATGCGGATAATATAGCCTTGCGAAATTTGCAATTTTCAGTCATTTTAGATTACAAACGGGAAATGGTTACCACTTCTTTGCGTAATACAAAATGACTGAAAATTACAAACTTCGCAAGGCTATATTATCCACATTTTACAACATTTTGCAATGAAACATTAAAATATTACTAATTTTCTGATGCTCTTTCAAGCTGTGATGAAACTTTTGTTCAGGCTAGTTAAGATCAAAATTTTGGAAAAGTGGTAACCATTTCCCGTTTGTAATCTAAAATGACTGAAAATTGCACATTTCCAAAGGCTATATTATCCACATTTTACAACATTTCGCAACGAAACTTTAGAATATTACTAATTTTGTGATGCTCTTTCATGCCATGATGGAATTTTGTCTAGACTTGTTGAGATCAAAATTTTGGTTAATTGGGGAATGGTCCATTTAGTTGGTAAAAATTCAACCTACCAATCGCCTGAAGATGCTAGGCGTAAAAAAATACCTGTGGTTCCGGTTCCCGACCGACCCAATTTTTTTCTGCCGACCCTATTAATTTTTCAACATGATTGACCATGCGACCCTATTTTCTCTGGGTGGTTGCGGGCTGCTGCCAAAATGGCGTCTGTTGTCACCATTGAACTATTACAAAACAACATTTTTAGTTTAACATTCTTAGTAATATTGTCACACTATTAAATTATTGAAAAAAATATTCAAAAAATTTCCGACCTACCGACCCTAGTTTTTTCGTGATATGACCGGAACCACAGGTATTTTTTACGCCCTAGAACCGCTTCGTTTAGTATATGTCATAAATGGCTGTTTACCTGTCACACTTAACCCGAAACCAGACATTCGCCTTTCAACTGTACGAGAACTCACACCAAGAATGTTACTAATGTCTCTTACTTGAAATCCTTTGCTCGAGCAAAAAGGACAGCTGTTCCTCGCTTATGTCATAGGATGATCGCCCTCATTGTCCTTCTCTATGCAACAATGCTCCATATCTGTCACAATTGAAATTGTTGTTTTCTATTTGAACGAGCAGTCTGTAAGCCCTCCCAATCGATGTGACGATGTCTTCCTCCATGTTTAGGTTAACTGCTAATCTCTGAACATAATCCAATTTTAAAATAACACGTTGCAAATGTGTTCAAGGATCGCCAGAATTTTCGTATACCTCTATTGCATTAATGACATCAAATAATGCTTCACTCAAATAAACAGCATTTTCCATATTTTTTTTATTACATCAAGAATATACTTTGAAAAAGAATCAGTTTGGATTTTTGTTTATATAAATGGTTTATAGAAAACCACGACCAATTATCTGAGCCGGCGTTACGTCGTTTAAATTGGATTGCGGTTGGATGTTCAAAAAAGTTGAATGTTGAATTGCGTAAAAAGTTGAATGTTGATCTGCGTAAAAAAGTTGAATGTTGAACTGCGTAAAAAAGTTGATTGTTGAATTGTGTGAAAAGTTGAATGTTGAACAGCGTAAAAAACTTGAATGTTGAATTGTGTGAAAAGTTGAATGTTCAATTGTGAAAAGTTGAATGTTGAATTGTGTGAAAAGTTGAATGTAGAATTGTGTGAAAAGTTGAATGTTTTATTAAGAATTGAACAAAATACACAAACTAGGATCACAAATAGAAAACTTGAATTTTGGCAGAAATATGGCATCATAATTTTAGGGCTGCAGGTCCAATTCCCACCAAAGAACACATAATATTCAAAGTGTATGGATGACTATAGCAGCCAGGATGTTCTTTCATATGACATGTTGTATTTTCATGCTGCTTTCTGGGTGTTCATTAATTTTGTCTTCCAGATAATTTGAGTATTTATTGATCATGAAGCTCACTATGCATTGGGCTATATAGTGTAGGGTTTATAGTCTATAAATAGGTATATCACAAGTGATATAAACACACTATAAATTGTGTACAAACAAATCATCCTCAAAGCAATAATAAATGTGATTTATAGTATGTCAGTTCAATATATGATAACATATATTGAATCAGTCCAAACACAATCATGATAGATCAGAAACTCGATTAATAAAAATATATATATATATATATATATATATATATATTTTTATTAATCGAGTTTCTGATCTATCATGATTGTGTTTGGACTGATTCAATATATGTTATCATATATTGAACTGATATATATATCTATATCTATATATATATATATCTATATATCTATATATCTATATATATATATATCTATATATATATATATCTATAATCT